AGCTTTTGCCCTTTTCAGACCTTTTCCAACATGCTTTTCTGATTAATTGACTTAACAATGGCTGTACACCACTCACTTGCCCAAAAGGCGCTCTGTACAGTAAGGAAGTGTGGTTTCATGTCGGCGTGGGTTTTCTGGTCATCCCACACATGGGACACTCTCCTGCAGAGACCACCGGGCGGCAAGAGGCGTGGCCCATCGGGCAAATCTGACAGACTGCCAGGCGGGTCACACCTCCAGGAAACCACCAGCTGATAGAAACACGTCACCACAGATGTCAGTGATGTTTCTGAGGAAGACTGAAGTGACAGTTGAAACATGTCAGGGTCTGATCTAAAAAATACTCATTGTCTGATAAAAAAGAAACCTTATACCAGGGGTGTCAAACTGCGGTCCTCGAGCGCCGCAATCCTGCATGTTTTAGATGTTTCCCTCTTCCAACACACCTGATTCAAATGATCAGCTCATCATCAAGCTCTGCAGAAGTCTGATAACGATTCTGATCATTTGAATCAGCTGTGTTGGAAGAGGGAAACATCTGAAACATGCAGGATTGCGGCCCTCGAGGACCGGATGTCGACACCCCTGCCTTATACCAATAATTAGAGTAGACAAAATGAACCTATTTCAATTCCTAGTTGCACAAACAAGAGTGAACTTTTTATTTGAGATGCAGAGCAGCAACCTTCAGACAGAAAGTTTGACTGTACAACTGCTTTGTTTGCATTCCAGGCGCTGCGAGCGTAACCCCTGCCCCGTGGACAACAAGGCGTGCTCTCAGGCCCCGAACTCCTTCTCCTACCACTACCTGGCCGTCGTGTCCAACCTGTCAGCTCCTCGCGTCATGTTCAGAGTGTCAGCGTTGCGTCCGATCGGGGACACGCTTCGCTTCTCCCTGCTGGGAGGAAGGCAGGCTCGCCGCCACTTCACAGTCCAGCGTTCAGACCGTCTGACAGGCCAGCTGATGCTGGTGAGCCCCGTGCAGGGCCCGGCCACGCTGGAGGCAGAGGTGGAGATGAGTGAGATGGAGAGACGAAACCAGCTGGGGAGATACATCACCAAAGTCACCATGTTTGTGTCTCAGTATGAGTTCTAACAGAAATGTATTTATTGCACAGTGAGTGTAGAAGAAATGAGAAGTGAATGACATGATGTAGCAGAAAGTAAAGCAGCACTTGACTGAAGGACCT